CATTATTGACCAATGAAGAATTATTATGTTGCTCATTAGTAGTCATCCTTTGGACAAGAATAAAGTACTAAAACTTGATTAAGCTGTTAAGATTTATTCTCAGCAGCATATAAAACCACAAGCAATTGGTTTTCTCCACCTGACTAGATATAGTATTGCCCTTTGAAAAAAAAATCAAGGGGTTCAAATCCAGTTATCTAATGATATTCTTCTAAGTCTGCTATAATTGTGTGTACCTTCAGGGCTTTTTAAAAGAAAACATAAAGATGGTTGAAGACTTTTTACCAGCATGAGACTTTTTATCTTTTTTAGAATATATACATATGAATTTAGTACTTATATTATCTTCCTTTTCAAAAAGGATTTGAGGGCTGGGAATGTGGCTTAGTGGTAGAGCACTTGCGTAGCATGCATGAAGCCCTGGGTTTGATTCCTCAATACCACATAAACAGAAAAGCCAGAAGTGGCGCTGTGGCTCCAGTGGTAGAGTGCTAGCCTTGAGCAAAAGAGGCTTAGGAACAGTGCCCAGGCCCTGAATTCAAGCCCCAGGACTGTCAAAAACAAACAAACAAGAAAAAGGATTTGGAGTGCTTTTCATGAAGGAAGTATACACATAAATACATATGTATATACACATATGTATATATACACATATACATACTGAAGGAGGTTAAAAGGGAAGTCACTGTCAAAAAGAAGAAAGCTAACATCAAATATAGTGAAAATGTATGCATTATCCTGACCATGTAATTGTAACCCCTCTGTACAGTATGTTCTCAAATAAAATAAAATAAAATTTAAAAAAAAAAAAAAGAAGAAAGCTAAGGAAAAAATGTTAATCACAAAAGCTCACGCATAGAGCATAAAGTGGATCTGAGTATCCTAGCAGCAAGTGGGGGAAAAAAAATGTGAATTGAATGGATTATGGTATGGTTGTCTACTAATCCCTTAATTCCAGAGAATTTCTCTGTTGCTAAGTTGTAATACAAATTCCTCCTATAATTTTCTTATGTAGGAAATACCATGCAAGATAATGGGAAACACAGAAGAAATATTGGTCTTCCTTATAACAATTCTTCCCAAAGCAGGGTAATAAGACTCAATGATGGAGAATCTGCCAAGGGGCACTATGCTAATGATAATTAGATAGCGTGTAGCTTCCTTTAATATAAAGATAGAGCTTAGTAACACTTAAAAGGATGCTTTTCCTTAGATGTTTCTTTAAAAAAGTTTTCTCTAGTGGGGCAGACACTGTTGAAGGGGTTGGGCACCAGGGAGAGATGAGAGGGCTAATGAGGAGGATGTGTGAGGATGAATATGGATGAAGCTGTCTGCTTGTATGTATGAAAATAGAAGAGTGACAGAAGAGAATAATAGAGAAGAGGGTGTGGTTGATACCTGGGTAGAAATGTTACAGTGGAAATCCCATGATGCAACTAATACATGCTAAAGAATAATTTTCAGAGCTGGACAGAAAAAAGTCAGTAGTCTGCTGAGGTGTTTGAATATTGAAATTCCCTTGTTGACGAAGGACCCATTTGCTTTAGAAAGAAATAGGGCAGGTTACGGATAACATTCTGATATGGAAGTGGAGCGTTCAGACCAGTATGCAAGTCATTATTGAAATTTGAAGTTCATTTTCTTTCCTTTTTTTTTTATTTGGGTCTTGAAAGAGCCTACTCACCTAGATAATGGCTTTGTGGTCCTCCACACTTAGCATCCTCGCATGCCAAAATTTAAAAAAAGTATGCCAGCCGGGCAGCAGTGGCGTATAATCCCAGCTACTCAGGAGGCTGAGATCTGAGGATCACTGTTCAAAGCCAACCCAGGCAGGAAAGTCCGTGAGCCTGTGATCTCCAATCAACTACCAAAAAAGCCAGAAATGGCACTGTGGCTCAAGTGGTTGAGTACCAGCCTTGAGCATAAAAAGCTTAGGGACAGTGCCCGGGTGCTGAATTCGACTGGCGCGCGCGCACACACACACACACACACACACACACACACACACACACACACACACACACACACACACACACACACACACACACACAGAGCGAGCATTGTATTTATGCCTGTAATCCCAGCTACATAAGTAAGAGGTATGATAGAGGTCCAAAGCAAAATCTGGGGAAAAATTCAAGACCTTATCTGAAAAATAACTAAAACAAAAAAAGGGCTGTGGGCAAAAAGAAAAGAATTACTTGTGATGATGAGATTTTGCTTGGTAATTCTACAAGTGCTCTGTTTTGTATGTTAGCCATCAGTCATATGTGACTATTTTTTAGATTTAAATTAATGAAAACTAAATTTAAAAATTCAATTCCTAAAGTCCATTAACCATATCTCAAATCCTCAGTAGCCACATGTGGCTCTTGTATTAATGCAAGTCATAGAGCATTTCTACAGAAAGCTTTCTGGTTTGGGGCTGCTCTTGACAGTACATTTTTCTTTTCTTTTCTTTTTTTTTTTTTGGTCAGTCATGGGGCTTGAACTCTGGTCCTGGACGATGTCCCTCAGCTCTTCAGCTCAAGACTAGTGCTCTACCACTTGAGCCATAGCACCACTTCCGGTTTTCTAGTGGTTTATTGGAGATAAGAGTCTCATGGCTTTTCCTGCCTGGGCTGGCTTTGAACCTGGATCCTCAGATCTCAGATTCCTGAGTAGCTAGGATAATAAGCATGAGCCACCGGCACCCGGCTATGACAGTACACTTTTCATGCTTTTCTTTCCTTAACAATAACAAACAACAATGGCATACTCCAAGAATGACTTATGTAGCCTCTATGATCAGAGGAGATGATATTTCCCATGATATTTTATCTGGAGGACTTTCTGATCCTAGTTTCTATTTCTGTGATACAGGGAAGCTACTACCCCAAACTACATTTAGCTTACTAGAGTGAGGAGCCTATAGAATCAGCTAGTTTTTGGTGGGTTTTTGTTTGTTTTGGCCAGTCATGAGGCTTGAACTCAAGGCCTTGCTGCTATTTCTGAGCTTTTGTGCTTAAAGCTAGCGCTCTGCTTCTTTGAACCACAGCATCACTTCCGATATTCTCATGGTTAATTGGAGCTAAAAGTCTCATGCACTTTTCCTACTCAGGTAAGCTTTGAACCACAATCCTCAGATCTCAGCCTCCTGAGTAGCTAGGATTATAGGTGTGAGCCACTGGCACCTGGCAAATCAGACAGTTTTTATTAGACGATACATTGAGCCAACAGTCTTAGGTGTCTGTTATTAGAAATACAGAATGTGTTTTGTTGAATTGTTACAGAGATTACCTCCTCCTTGGTGGACTTGTTATTGATGTTGCTAATTAAATAAATGTGTTAGCTTCTATAACAAGTGGCTTCTAAAAGACCACCCTAGCTTTGCTGACTTATGACTAACATACAGAAGCAATAGGTATTTAATGTATAACACTTGATGTACTTGTTGGTTATCTTTCTGACATAGTCCGTAGTAAGACTATGGGGACTATTGACTCCTCTGTGTGATTTTGGAAGAAAAAAAATGTGGTATGTGTGTATGCAAGTCTTGAGGCTTGAACACAGATCCTGGGTGCTACCTCTGAACCTCTTTTTGCTCAAAGCTGGTGCTCTACCACCTGAGCCACAGCACCACTTCTAGATTTTTTCTGAGTAGTTTATTGGAGATAGTCTCATAGAACTTTCTACACAGGCTGGCTTCGAACCACGATCCTCAAACCTCAGTCTCCTGAGTAGCTAGGATTATAGCTGTGAGCCACCAGCATCCAGCCAAAAATCCGTTTTATAAATCTGATTATTTCTAGGCACCAGTAGTTCATGCCTATAATTAATTATAGCTATTTGGAAATTTTAGATTTTCAAGATTGTGGTTCAAAGCCAACCTGAGCAGGAAATTTTGTGAAATGCTTATCTCCAGTTAACCACTAAAAAGCTGGAAGTGGAGCTGTGGCTTAAGTGACAGAGCACTAGCCTTGAGCAAAGAATCTCAGGAACTGTTAAAGCACTAGGACACACACACACATACCACACACAAAGTGAAAAAATGTCTAGAGCCTCTTAGGTGAATTTAATACAGTGGGTTTTGTTGCCAATAAGACTACTGAAATCCAAATTTACTCACAGATTCATTAGGAGACCTTTTGGAATCTTGTCCTAAATGAATGGAAGATGTTGGCTAAATCAAGGAGGGAGTGCTCTGTTTTATTTAATTATAGCAGTAAGTTACTCTTCCACATCACAAAGGTCAGCAGCACGTTATTGTTATAGAAAACAATTGGTTTTAATGTTATTTTAATAGCTATGGCTCCTTAGGTTATTTTCATGCACTCTTTCTCTATTATTTTTGTATTCCAAGTCACCGTGGCGGAGTGCGTGCATGCTCACTAGTCACCAATTTTAGTCTCTTTGATTAAAAAAAAAAAATCACATCAGGAATATTGCTGAACAGCAAGTAAATGGTTAAGTATCTCTAAAGAATAAAAACGTGGTTTTTATGTGCATTTTTGATAGCAGGGATCCCACCGAGATTCTATTTTTATTCCTTCCGTTCATGACAATAATGTTGTTATTACGAGCACAGCTTGAACACGTGAGCTTTTTTCTCCTCCCCCCCCCCCCCTCCCCTGTCTTTCCTCTCACTCCGTGTGGTCCCGCTCCTCCGTCCCCTCCCCAAGCCGCCCGTCGGTCTCAAGGCCGTGGCAGACGCCTGATTGGCGGGCTCTGTTTATTCCGTGACCAGATTCCTTCTGAAAGGAGGCCGGCCAGGACTGCCGGGCGCCTATTGGTTGGACACCCTCTGGGCCCTCCCCACCTCCCTCCCTGGCCCCCCCCCCCCGCCCGATTTTTTTCACGGCACACACCACGGAGAAGTCTGCGGAGTCCTAAACCAGCCCAATTCCGACCCATTCATGAATCCGTGACGTCAGCGCGCCGGGGGGCCCCGCGGCGGGGGCTGGCGGGCCGCGGGGGTGGAGCCGCCGCCCCCGTGCTTTTCCAGCGCAGCCAGGCTCCGGCAAACCTTCTGCCAGCCAGAAAACGGAGCAGCATGTGTAGGAATGCCTCACCGCCGTGAGTACGCCGCGTGAATCGCGCACGGACGGACGGGGGCGGGTTCGAGCCGCGGGGTGAGCCCGGAGGGACGGGATGCGCGCGGTGGAGAGGAGGAACCCGGGTCCCGCCGGCCGCGGGCAGCCCGCGCGTTGACAGCTGGCTTGCCCTTCGCGGTCTGCCGCCGGCCGGGGACGGTCGCCCTCCCGGGGAGATGCGTTTCCTTCGAGATGAGGGGGCCGGGCGGGGCGGGGGCGGGGGCGACGCGGGACCCCGGCAAGGGGCCGAGGCCGGCGGGCGAGCCGGACCGGGCAGGTTCCAGCCCGCGGGCACTTGCCTTCCGGCGGCGGCCCGCGAGCTCGCTCGCCGCCTCACCCCTCACCTTTGTTTCTGCTGGGTACACGCGTCCCCACTGCAGACAGGGGAAAGACGGATAGCTCCGGTTCCAGCCTTCCCCCCAAGCGAATTGACACAGCCAGATCCTGAAAACCCTGCGGCTGGGCCAAGGGAAGGGACGCGTCCTTCCATTCTGATCGTACGCTGCTCTCCAACGACGGGGTTTCTGACGCTGTTCCAACATTGTATTGTGTAGAAATGCACCTGCGCGGTTTTCTAATGAACTTCCAACGGGAAACAGAGCCCCCCCGCCCCCATGCTGGGGGAAGACGGCAGAGTTCTCCTATGTTCCATGTATGAAGCTGGTTTCATAGGTTGCTTCTCATCTTAACAAAAAGTATCTGTGGTTGAGTTCGTGTTCCAAGGCTCTGGTTTAGTTCTGGTGAAAGTTGTGATACCGAAGTAGGGAGAAGTGACATTGTGGCATGTTCTGTCCCTAGGGCAGTGCCTCACACCAAATAATACAGTAGCATTTCTAATACTAGTCTGCAACATGCCCTTGGTTTTTCGTCTTTCCTGTGAGCAAGAAAGCAAACTGCCCAATTTATGATCACTTTGTTATACTTACCTTGTATAACCAATCGTTTTGTGATTTAAAAAAAAAATCATGATCTTTTCTTGTGAAGGAAAGATTCTAAATGTGGCACTAATGGATATCTTTTAGAGTATTCTTCCTAATGAATCTTCCAACTGTAAACTCATTTAAGTTGAAAGTTGTCATAGCTGTGTACCAGTGGCTTATGCCTGTAATGCTAGCTACTCAGGAGGCAGCTGAGATCTGAAGATCTGTTTGAAGCCAAGCTTGGGCAAAATCTGTGAGACTTTTATCTTCAATTAAACACCAAAAAGCCAGAAGTGTAGCTGTGGCTCAAATGGTAGAGTGCTAGCCTTGAGCAAAAGAGCTCAGGGGCAGCACCCAGGCCTAGAGTCAAGTTCCAGAAGCAGTGCGTGCACATGTATGTGCGTGCACACACACACACACACACACACACACACACACACAGGTAAGGACATAACATTGTCTTTTGTTTCTCAGATTGTTAGTGCATTTCTTCATTCTGTTTTTCCCAGTCCATTTGAACTCATTAGAATTACAGAAGGGAAAACCTCTGTCTAATTCTAGATCACATCTTGGTATACTCAGAGAAGTATAGATTCACATTATGCTATTTTTATTTGCTGAGTTGAACAAATGAGATAATATTTAGATACACTCTACAATCATTGTAAACATCATGACTTATTTTCAGCATTTTTATACCTTTACAGACTTGGTTGAAAGCAATTTCAAAATTACATTAAATTATTGAAGCTTACCAGACCAAAAGATCCATTTCATGGCATTAAAAGTTATGTTTATATAATCAAACTCATCTGAGGAAATAGTCATTTGGTAGATATTGTCAAGAGAAAGCTTTAATTCCATTAAAGATATCTAGTGTGCATTTGGTTTATTAAAGTAAAACTGTCTCTTTAAGGCACAAAGTGGATGTAAAAATTCCCTTTTCTCCTGATAGCTGTGTACAAGATTATATTTATTTTCATGTATAGTGTACTTGTAGAAAAAACAATAACTCTTAATTGTTTAATATCAAACAATAAAATCTTGTGTTATCAGTGAATGTCAATAGATGGCTTTCTGTTTAAAAGTTGAAGCTACTCCAGAAGCAGGAATTAATTTATTTAGTAAACATAGCCAGACCAGAGCTATGTTAAAAAAAATAAAAATAAAGGATTTTTAAGGTCCAAAAGCCATAGTCACAGGTCTATGGTAGAACAGTCATACTAGGGATGTCAGAACTGGTTAGTTCAGTTTGCACTGTCTACCTATCTTCCTTCTGTGAGCAACAGCTGAATTATGGCTTGGGGAGCTCAAATGAATCAGGGTAGCCAGGATGACCAAGCCTGCCAGGTGGTGTAGCTTGTCTCTTGTCATTTTGATTAACATTAAAGAACATTCCCTAAAAATACTCTGCTGCTTTAAAAAAAAAAAATCCAAGAGTCATTCAAAAGATATCACACTTCTGCTCTGCTTTGGTTCTGACTCTGTATAAATGTGGAGAAAACAAAGATTTGGAAGTTGCAGTCTTTATTGTCAATAAATCTAGAGGTTAGTTACAGAAATAGATTATATATATTTTGTGCTAATACTGTGGTTTGAACTCAGGGTCTCATGTTTTCTCTTCGCTTTTTCTTTTTGGCCATGGGTCTTGAACTCAGGACCTGGGTACTGTCCCTGAGCAATTTTGCTCAGAGCTAGTACTCTTACCACGTTGGGCCACAACTCCACTTCTGGTTTTCTGGTGGTTAACTGGAGATAAAGAGTCTCTTGGCTTTTCCTGTCTAGGGCGGCTTTGAACTGTGATCCTCAGATCTCAGCCTCCTGCATAGCTAGGATTATAGGCATGAACCACCAGCTCCTGGCTTCTCTTGTTTTGTTTTGTTTTTTTGTTCAAGACTGACACTCTATCATTTGAGCCAGAGCTTCACTGCCAGTGTTTGGTGGTTAATTGGAGATAAGAGTCTCATGTACTTTTCTTCCCTGGCTGGCAACAGACCATGATCCTTGGATCTGTCTCCTGAATAGCTAGGATTACAGGTGACCAGTGTCCCACTCAGAAGTAAACTTTAACACTAAAATTACCTGTAGAATTTTCCCTCAATCTCCCTGCCTTAAAATTTTTTTTCTCTTGCCCTTTTTGCTAGCCAGTGGTTTTTAATATGTTTAAACAGTTATGTAGCCATCATTACAAATAGAGAATATTTTCATCATCGCAAAGAGACCAGATTAGCAGTCATTCCTCATTTCTTCCCACTGCCCCTCTCAACCCTAGCCAGCACTAAGCAACAGTTAATCATATAGATACAGTACATTTTACTTCATCTCTCGATAAACATTTGAGTTGTTTCTACCTTGTAATTTTTGGGAATAATACTGTGATCTACATTTATGTTCAAGCTTTATGTGAACATATTTTCATTTCTCTTGGGAGTAGAAGTACAGGGTACTTTTGCTAGTTGATTGAAGGTAAGAGTCTCATAGACTGAGCCAGCTTCTGCCTGAGTTAGCCTCAAACTGTGATCCTCAAGTCTCAGCCTCCTGAGTAGCTAGGATCACAGCCATGAGGCACCATGAGCTCTTTTAATGCTTCTCTGATTATTTGAATTTATAACCTGCATTGAAAACTATTGTCATGAGTAGAGACTTTACAGACAGTATTTCTGAATCAGGAGAGAGGATGAGTGAAAATGTAGAATTCTGATATGGAAAGGAGTGGGGGGAAGGAAAATTAGGATTCTTGCTAAAAAGTATGTTTTGGTTGTTTCTGTTGTTAATCATTCAATGAATGAGGGTATTGTTAGGGTTCAATATGTCAAACTAAATGAAGAAGAGGAGATAACATTTTTGGGGGGGTCATGGGGCTTGAACGCTGGGCCTGGGCGCTGTCCCTCAGCTCTTCAGCTCAAGGCTAGCGCTCTACCACTTGAGCCACAGCGCCACTTCCGGCTTTTTTCCTTTGGCTTATGTGGTGCTGAGGAATCGAACCCAGGGCCCAAGCGCTCTACCACTGAGCCACCTTTCCAGCCCATGGAGATAACATCACTTTATGTATGCCTATACGGTTGTTTGGGTTTTAAAAAATTTAAATTGTTGTTATAAAGGTGATTTACAGAGGTGTTATAGTTACACAAGTCAATTAAAGAGTACATTTCTTTTTGGACAATGTCACCCTTTTCTCCCTCTCTTCCAATTTTTCCTTCCCATCCACACCAGCAAGTTGTATCGTTCATTTTCAACACTGTGTCTAATGAGCACTACCACTGCATTTGTTCATCCTTTGTCCCTCCATTTCTGTAGATTTTTTTAATATACAATGTTTAATTTAAAATATAATCCTCATGATATGAAGTAGGTGCCTGTTCATTTTACAGACAGGAAAAAAAGGCATAGAAAATTTGTTGACTCAACTAAAGATACTCAATAGTGGGTATAATATTCAGTTCTCAAGCCCAAGTCTAATTATTACTCCCATCCTCTAATTATGTATTTCATGGATTTTTCAGCATTGGGTTCCTCCATTAATTGCAAATGGTCTAGTGTAGCATGAATTTAATACCTTCTCAAACAGTGCACTAGGCTGAACAAAGATTAAGGTAAGTTTGATGGTGGCCTATTACAGTTAGCATGAGTGTTGACATAATGGGTTCAATAGAAGACAAGAGGGTGCTAGAAAATCATGGAACTCAAACTGGTGATCTGCCAACAGAAAAAGCCCTAAGAAGCTCAAAGGCCAATATAATTTCCATGATGGAAAAATGAATGAAAAATAAATGACAACACCTGCCAATTTACTTGTCTACTTACTTTATCTAGCTAGGTACTTACATTCAAATAGACAAAAATCAGCATGATACTTTGTTTACTTGACTCTGATGCCGTTGACTATGGAGCTATCTCAGGTCATCTTGGCCAGGCATTTACCTTCTTCATTGCTTTATTTTTCATCAGCTTTGATTTTTAACATGAGATATGAAGAAATTATCCCTAATTATTTTATTTTATTATTATTTTTTTTGAGTCCGGTCGTGGGGCCTGAACTCTGGGCCTGGGTGCTGTCCCTCAG